AGGCACTTTCTGTCCAGCCGGTTTCTTGCATGAAAGACTGAAAGCCTGTTTGCTGCTCAGGCTCAAAGATGTCCAGTCTATCGAGGAGCTGAGCGATGTGTATAACCACTTCCTTCTGTACTACGGCCGCGACATCCCCAAAATGCAAAATGCTGCCAAAGCCAACAAAAAGAAGCTGAAGAAAATCAAAGAGGTCTCGGAAGAAGATGGTGAGATATAGGCAGAGCCTCCTTTTACTGAACTAATTATGCTGGATCAGGATTATAGTGAATCACGAGGTTTCATTATAGTAAACAATGTTGCAGTGCTTCAAAATGTGCGTACTTTAATTTCTTCTTGTCATTGATATTAATGTAAGATGTAAGCTACCAGCATGCAAATTTAACGCACAGATGCTCATGCTCATTAAAGGGCATGAAGAGACTTGTGGCCTGGGGTCCCCATCACTAGTGTGAGGGTGTGCCTTTTCCTCTGTGCAGGTGAGCAGGATATTGAGGCTGAGGAGCAGGAGGAAGAGGAGCAGAAGGGGCCAGATCTGAAGCTGGCCTCCCGCAGGGACATGTACAGCATCTGTCAGAGCGCCGGGCTGGGTGAGTCACGTCAACACCAGGGGGCGCTTTGCCTTCTGGGCAGACTGAACGGCGGGGGCTTTCATGTTCTTTTGATTTTGAGGTTAGGGTGGCAGGACCTGAAGAGACCCCCGCAGTGCCTGTGATGCTGTATTTAATCATTAAGAAAATGCATTTTGTTCATCACCGCGGAGCGAAATCCTAGCAAAATGCACAGCCCGTTCAGGAAATGGTTTCTTTCTTCAAACGTGAGAGAGTTCACTGACAAAATCGTCCTTTTCAGACGGTCTGGCTAAGAAGTTTGGTCTGACCCCGGAGCAGTTTGGGGAGAACCTGCGGGACAGCTACCAGCGCCACGAGACGGAGCAGTTCCCCGCCGAGCCGCTGGAGCTGGCCAAAGACTACGTCTGCAGGTAGCCGCTGTGTTTTATGCACAGGCGAGAACCGCCCTGCCCGTACTGTGTACAGTTGCTACTTTATGTATTTGCATAATCTGGTTTTCTTCTATTACATTGGTGGTGTGTGTGTAGTATAGAGATTGTGTTTTCATTCTGTTCTGCTCTGCGGACGTCAAGGTCTTGAGGTGGCAGCGGTGGCTTGGGTTGGGGTTCCCCATTGGTCCGAGTTAAACCCCTGTGTCCTCACAGTCAGTTCTCGGTGCCGGAGGCGGTGCTGGAGGGGACCCGCTACATGGTGGCCATGCAGATCGCCAGGGAGCCGCTGGTCAGACACGTGCTCCGGCAGACCTTCCAGGAGAGAGCGAAGATCAACATCAAGCCCACCAAGAAAGGCAAGAAGGTACGAGCCTCTTCCCTGGTCCTTCTGATGCACACATGTCACTTCCAGGCCAGGAGAGGTTGGGCTCCTGCATTTAGAGCATGAAGTTTGCTCTTCTCCTGGTTCGACTAAGCCCAGTTGTTTTAAAAAACCATCCAGTTCCCCCTTTTAAATCGTGCATCTGCTAAGCTGATCTGATCAATTCTCACACCTTTACATGGACTACAGCTTTTTGCAGGTATAAGAAGAGTATACTTTTGAATGTTCGGGAGAATGTCTTCCCATTCGGAGGGGCGTGGCAGTGCTTCTCGGTTGTCAATGTTGCCCTGTGGTTGCAGGATGTAGATGAAGCCCACTATGCCTATTCCTTCAAATACCTGAAGAACAAGCCTGTGAAGGAGCTGAATGGTGACCAGTTCCTGAAGATGTGCTTGGCTGAAGACGAGGGGCTGTTAACCATAGACATCTGCATCGATCTGATGGGAGTAAAGGGGTGCGCTGTCATTGCTGCTGTCTTGCCTTCCTGTGTGTTTTCTGTTCCCCCTTACTGACATACTTTAAATTGCTATATACCTCTAGAAAATTATTTTGACTAAGTTTTATTTTCCATAACGTTGTGAGTTTAATAAGATTTATGATCAGCTGTTTAAAACACTGCAAGATTGCAAATACTAATAATTATAGTATCACTATAGCTATTCAGAGTCTCTGCCGCCCTTATTTAGTTTACGAAGGAGGAATTAGTCAGTCGTTAACCACTGCAAGATGAAAAACAGCTCCTGTGTTTTGGGCCTGTAGGTACGGCAGCGACCAGACGTACTTTGACGAGATCAAGCAGTTTTACTACCGAGATGAGTTCAGCCACCAGGTGCAGGAGTGGAACCGCCAGCGAACCCTGGCCATCGAGCGCTCGCTCAAGCAGTTCCTGTACCCGCAGATGGCCAAGGAGCTGAAGAACAAGCTCATGGCGGAGGCCAAGGAGAACATTATCAAGGTGATCAATTTGTGAAAGTTGCGAAATGCATTTCTGGTTCAGCAGGCTGCCGGCTCTGGTGTATCAGCTCCTGCCTCGTGCTGGAAAGTCAGTGCCTGTTTCCTTGCTTTGTGCAAGTTCTTATAGACTGAAAGTAACACTAATGGAGTATTGAGCATGCTTCCCAAGAGTTTTGGCAGTGAAGAACATGCGCACGCGCTCTCTCTCTCTCTCTGTAGGGCTGCAGCCGGAAGCTGTACAACTGGCTCAAGGTGGCGCCGTACCGCCCTGACCAGCAGGTGGAGGAGGACGATGACCTCATGGACGAGAACCAGGGCAAGGGCATCCGTGTGCTGGGGGTGGCCTTCGCAGCCGGCAGGTAACCCTCTCGCCTGGGGCGCCCGGGGCCAGCCGATCTCCCGGCGAACATCAAAACGTTAACAAATCGGAGGATGCCTTTTGGCTGCACGATAACAGTTGCACATCCGAGACTGCAGCAAGAAATAATTCTTGGTCGAGACGAGAAACGTTTCCGATGAACTGTGTCATCAGAGCCGATCTAGCACAGGCTGGCGTGGAGGGGACATGAGTTTCACATGGGGAAATCGAGTATTATTTTTAATTACAGGTTTTCTTTTCTTAGAATAATATTTGAACTCATCTGGGTTTCCTTAAACACCCCTAATGACTTTGATCACTCCTTATGTGACGTTATGATATGGGGGAAGTTTTGGAGTAGCCAGCATGTCTTTGGGGTCACAGGAAGAACATGCAGAACAGGCCGGCAGGAACCACAAGCGAGAATGAAGCTGAAGCTCTGAGTCCACATTATTAACCCTACACCACCACCTTGTAGCACAAGTGCCAACAGGGCGGGAGACACTTCGGTGTGTAGAAGAGACTGGGTATTTTTTATAGTAGCACCTTAATTTTGTTTCCCAGAAAAGGCACAAGCAGTGATTAAATATAGCAGCCTGCTTTCTTACAAGGGTGCCAGGAGTCCGTTAGCTAGGCGGAGTGCCTGGCTGAGAGGTGTGCTGTTGTGGAACTTCACATTTTGAAGGGCAGCCTTTCGTATTCTCAGGGACACTCCAGTGTTCTGTTCCCTCGTCAACGGCGATGGCGAAGTCGTCGATTTCCTGCGCCTGCCTTACTTCCTGAAGAGGCGAAACGCTTGGCGAGAGGAAGAGAGAGAGAAAAAGGTAGATTTGAGACTTGAAACCAGGTTTCCAATTATACTTAAATGCCCCCATGGTGTTTCTGGTAGAACTGATTGGGTTGTTGGCTTCTGACCTGTTCACAGTCATGTTCTGCTTACACTGAAATTTTGCTTTTGCTTTGTCCCTATTCATTATACAATAACTGAAAACGATTTCTGAGACGCTTTTTTTTACTTTTACATTTCTAGATAGCACTGTTAATTCCTTTTGTTAAAAAAATACTTCGCTATTGTAGATGGTCTGTGTATTTTGTTTCCTCTGGGTATTCATCTGCTGAGGTGCTTATTGGTCTTGATTCCTTTTTTGTTCTGAACCTTGTTATAACAGACCCTTGCACGTCCTGTAAAAGTTTTAAGATCCACAGGACACATGGACTCTACGTTAGGCATCAGCTGACAGACCACTGAATATCTGCACTCTCAAACTCGAAACAAAGATACACATGACGTTTTAATATGTTTTTTCACCCCAAATGACTGTCCTATGCTTTCGGGGTTGAAACCTTTCTTTTGTTATTTGACTTTGGGTGTTTGGACATCCGTTCTGCTTCTTCTCTGAAGCTTAGGTGTTGATATTGGTTTCCCCTCCCACCAGATGCAAGATATCGAAAACCTGAAGAAGTTCCTCGTCAGCAAGAAGCCTCATGTGATCGCCGTTGCCGGGGAAAACAGGTTTGCCGGATCTTTTTTCTGTTTTTGTGGAGTGTGAGGAATCCCCCCCCCCCCTCTTTCTGGGAGCCGCCGACTCACAGACCGTGTTCCCCGCAGGGACGCCCACATGATCATCGAAGACATCAAGCGTGTGGTGAGCGAGCTGGAGCAGGAGATGTCCCTGCCCTCCATCGGAGTGGAGCTGGTGGACAACGAGCTGGCGGTGCTCTACATGAACAGCAAGAAGTCAGAGGTGAGCGCCACCTCCTTCTCTGTCCGTTTGTCATGCTGGAGTTCGTGGGCATGATCGGAAAGCTCTGCTTTGTCCTTTGTCACCAGAGTCCTCCATCTAGCTGTTGCCGAGCAAGCAAGGGGAAACTCAGTTCTCAGAAGCTGCAAGATCATCTGCTCTTCTTCCACTTGAAATATTCAGTTAATTTTCTATTGGGGTTGGGACTAAAAATGAAAAGTGCTCTTTTCAGCAGGTTAATAGGCGCATCTAACCTGCAGGAATCCTGATCTTGCAGAATAGGGTGACGACATTCTTACAGCTGACAGCTCAGGGCAATTATACTTGCTTAAGAAAACAGTTTGCACAAAAAGGTAAAACAAAATAACAGCATCTTGAATTTTTCTGATGGGGAGGCGATGAATCCCTTTGATATCCAGCCGTTTCCCGCGGAGGGTTTTTCAGAGCACGGTTGGTTTTTCCAGGTGGATTTCCGGGACTATCCCCCGTTGCTCCGCCAAGCGGTGTCCATCGCCCGGAAGATCCAGGATCCTCTGGTGGAGTACGCTCAGGTGTGCAGCACCGACGAGGACATACTGTGCCTCAAGATGCATCCTCTGCAGGTAGGTTTCTCCCATGTTGCCCAAGCAGACCACGGTTTTCTCTGCAGACAAGGATCATAGTTTCAGTCTCAGTTGATCTTTTCTGTGTAACTGGAGCTATAATGCATGTGAATATTTCTGAGGCAATTATTCTGAAAGAAGGCCCTTGGCTTGTTTTCCCCCTGGTGCTCCTGTGATTCCATCACTGAGCTCTTTTCTAAACCTGACCCTTTTTTCCACCAGGAGCACGTCGTGAAGGAGGACCTTCTGAACGCGCTGTACTGCGAGTTCATCAACCGGGTCAACGAGGTGGGCGTGGACGTGAACAGAGCCATAGCCCACCCCTACACCCAGAGCCTGGTGCAGTACGTGTGCGGACTGGGGCCCAGGAAGGGCTCCCACCTGCTCAAGGTTAGCCAGGGTCATCTAGCCGTCCGTGAGACTATCCAGATCCATATGTGTGAATTGACAGGTGCTCTACTATTACACGTATCAAGTGAGAGTCGTTTTATATAGTGCTTTTCACTGAGAGCATCCCAGAGAGCTGTGCTAGGTTAAAATCATAAGTTTTTTTTTCGAAGCGGCAGCTTAATTAGATCCTTGGCTACTTGCAACTAAACAGGCTAGTTGTGCTGAATGGTCTCTTCCCACTTCCCACAAAACCTTTCTTAAAACCAAGGCAATGCAGGTGCTTTCCAAAGAATCTGCACCCTGGCTGAAACCCCTGTCCCCTCTTCTCTCTTTCCGCGCAGATCCTCAAGCAGAACAACACCCGTCTGGAGAACAGGACCCAGCTTGTCACCATGTGTCACATGGGCCCGAAAGTGTTCATCAACTGCGCCGGCTTTATCAAAATCGACACGGCATCTTTAGGAGACAGGTGAGGAGGGGGCCCCTTGATGTCACTGCTGCAGCATTTATATTGGGATTCTAAAGCAGGACTTTTAAGGCACCAGGTGTGTGGGGCATTTGTTTTTCAGGCACATTTTAGATTTAAAAGGCGGTCAAAATAGAGCGTGTCTAAGCACTGTTTTTTAGTGTAGTCTTCACCTTCGTCCTTCGGGGGTCTCGGGGAATGTTGAAAGGCTGCCAGCCCTCTAACCCGCCCACTCGCTCTTGCGTTTTCAGCACGGACTCCTACATCGAGGTGCTGGACGGCTCGCGGGTGCACCCCGAGACGTACGAGTGGGCGCGGAAGATGGCGGTGGACGCGCTGGAGTACGACGAGTCGGCCGAAGACGCCAACCCGGCGGGGGCCCTGGAGGAGATCCTGGAGAACCCGGAGAGGCTGAAGGATCTGGATCTGGACGCCTTCGCCGAGGAGCTGGAGAGACAGGTGTGTGTTTCGGGGGGGGCTGGGGACGCTTGCTGGTCTTGTGACGTTTGTTCATGCAGCTCAATGCCTAAAATCACCCCCTCACCTTTTCCCTGTGCATTAAAACTGAACACACACTTAACACCCATCAGTGCCTGGTGCTGACCTCAGCCTCCTTCCACAGGGCTATGGTAACAAGGGTATCACTCTGTATGATATCCGTGCCGAGCTGAGCTGCAGGTACAAGGACCTGAGAGCCCCTTATCGGCCTCCAAACACAGAGGAGGTCTTCAACCTGCTGACTAAGGAGACGCCAGAGACCTTCTATATCGGTAACCACCATCGCAGTGCTTTTTGCGGTTGATATATTTTCGTGACGTTTTAATTTGGTTCATGTTATCCTTTAAATTTGCCACTGTTCTCCATGTTTGGGCTACTTAGTTTCCCTAATGCGTTGTGCAAGCTGTGACTAACGTGCTCCGTCTCTTCCTGTCTCCCCTCCGCAGGAAAACTCATTACCAGTGTGGTGACGGGCATAGCTCACCGGCGGCCGCAGGGCGAGAGCTACGACCAGGCCATCCGGAACGACGAGACCGGGCTGTGGCAGTGCCCCTTCTGCCAGCAGGACAACTTTCCTGAGCTGAGCGAGGCGAGTCTTGTCCGTGCCCAGCGCCTGATAAGACATGCCCTTCCTTTTGTTTTCGCTGCATTCAAAACCGTTCTCCGTTTCCACATTAAAAACTTTTGCGAGCTGTTTATAGCTGTATTTATCGTCACTGTTCTTCTGTAGCAGTAATGTTTGACTTGTCATACTGCTTAAGTCTACTTCCAAAATTGTGGTGTCAATACTGTCAGTGATGTTAAAGGCTATAATTGGTAGCATCATTCTTTTGTGCTCATCTTAGCTCACCTGCCTTCCTGGGAATAACTGATTTAACTTGGATGTGAATGCCTGCACTTAGGAGGGTTTTTTCCTCGTCTCTCTCCACCAATAGGTGCTCAAACCCTTGTTTCTGCTCCCCAGGTCTGGAATCACTTCGACAGCGGCTCATGTCCCGGCCAGGCCATCGGGGTGAGGACACGCATGGATAACGGGGTCATGGGGTTCATCCCCACCAAGTTCTTGAGCGACAAAGTGGTCAAGCACCCTGAAGAGCGAGTCAAGGTAACAAGAGGAGTTGATGGCTCATTCACTGCCCGTTTCTCAACACGGGGGTTTACAGTCTTGGTCCTGAACATTGCAGTTTTTTTCTGCTCAAAAATATGGGTTCTTGTTACTTATGAAATGGTTTGAAGGCCACTGACCTATTTAAGAACCGACAACAATCCAGTGGCCAAACTTAATCCTAGTATGATGTGAATCAAGGGTTCAGTTGTGTAACAGAGCTGGGTTGGAGCAACGACCAGCGGGTTTGTGGGCTCCCTGGCTCTGGATCTCTGGATTGGGAACCCCTGTTCTAACACTTAATATTTCCCCGTCTGTCTTAAACGCAGAACAAGAGATTGTTCTGCTACTCTTTGAAGCTGGTGGTTTCCCCTAGTTGGTGAAATAACATAATGGCTGTATTTAATAAACTGGCGTAGCTTGGAAATTCGAGTGAGGACCAGCATTGAGCTCTCTTGTTGCTGGGGTGCTTAGGTTGGGATGACAGTCCACTGCCGGATAATGAAGATTGACATCGAGAAGTTCAGCGTGGACCTCACCTGCAGGACGTCGGACCTCATGGACAAGAACAACGAGTGGAAGCTGCCCAAGGACACGTACTATGACTTTGACGCCGAGGCCGAGGACCTGAAGCAGGAGGAGGAGGCCAAGAAGAAACAGCAGCGCACGAGTGAGTTCATATCTCTGGGGCAGCATAAGTGTGTTTGATATTGAACACCGCTTTAACTCTTAAGCCTCTGCCTTGGATGCAGACTAAAAAGACAGTAGGTTTATCGAACACATCCCTATCGATCTAGGTGTTTTGACATCTGTGTGTCCTTTGGCAGGCGTTGGCCTCGCTGTCTCCTAAACAGTGTTTTTCTCTGGTGCAAATCTGCAGCCTATATCAAGAGGGTGATTGCCCATCCGTCCTTCCATAACATCAACTTCAAGCAGGCAGAAAAGATGATGGAGACCATGGACCAGGGAGACGTCATCATCCGGCCCAGCAGCAAGGGAGAGAACCACCTGACCGTCACCTGGAAGGTGGCTGAAGGCATTTATCAGCACGTGGATGTGAGGGAGGAGGGCAAGGAGAACGCCTTCAGCCTGGGGCACACGCTCTGGATCAACAATGAGGTTAGTGTGGGTGGCAGGCCAGGGCTAAACCACACTACCCTGGGCCCTGCCCAGCCCCTGGACCTTCTTTTTGTGTGCTTGAAGTGTCCTGAGGAAGATTCCCAGAGCTAAATGTAATAGCCTTCACCATAGGAAGAATTCCTAAATGGAACATTGGCCTGTGAGCTACAGGCTTTGTCTTGAACCTGCCTCAATTCCCAAGTTGAACAATAGCTACGTCTCTTAATAGTATAAAGTCTGCTTATTCATCAGACATTTGCCATGACGTTGTTTCCTTGTGGGATGTTCTTAAACAGCAAAACGATGTTCACTGATCTTTGCGTGTCCTTTTCCGCAGGAGTTTGAAGATCTTGACGAAATCACCGCGCGCTACGTCCAGCCCATGGCGTCGTTTGCGCGGGATCTTCTCGGACACAAATATTTCCAAGACTGTAACGGCGGAGACAGAAAGGTATAAACGTGGTCTGATTTTCCATATTTAGAAAATGCACCGTTTGGGTCCACTAGGCTTAAACTGAACTCGCTATGGTAATGTCAAGGGAGAGAGGGGACAAGAAGTGAGCTTTGAATCTCTTATTTACACATACAGCATGCAGGCTCATGGTTTTTCAGAGCCTGGTTTTTAGCGGGGAGTTTGCAATAAAGGAGTGTTTCCTTTTACAGAAAATGGAAGAGCTGCTGGTCAAGGCGAAGAAAGAAAAGCCTACATTTATCCCCTATTATGTCTCTGCCTGTAAAGAGTTGCCAGGAAAGTTTCTGCTAGGATACCAGCCTCGCGGGAAGCCAAGGTTAGTAGCTGTCTGCCAGACAGCCTTTCAGTCTTGTGCAAATGTGGTCATTGTGTTGCCAGTTTGCATTCATTTACAGACACCGGGGTCTCTTTGTGCCGATATTTTAATCTCATGTTGGCGTTGTGTGCGAACAGTACCTCTTGTGGGGCTTGTGACAGATGTGAACATTTGGCGGCGACTGCTGAGTCTGTGACCAACTCGGGCAGTGGGAGAACCGAATGAACTGAAAATTGGATCTTTTTGCTGCTTCCCTCAAACAAAGGCTTTAACCGGCTGAAATGGAGAGGTCACGTTTAAAAAGGCGTAATACTTGTGGTTTGAAATGCAGAGATTGCTGGGTTGATCTCCGAAGATGCATTTTGCATCTGCTGAGCGCTTGACGTTCGGGATAGAAACGTGGCACTAACAGGAGATATTTCTTTCTGCCGCAGGATCGAGTTTGTGACCGTGACACCTGATGGCTTCAGGTACAGATCGCAGATATTCCCCACAGTGAATGGGCTGTTCCGCTGGTTCAAGGACCACTATCACGACCCGGTGCCAGGTTGGTGCAGCATGGGCAGATCTTACCAGCGAGCTGGGTGTCAGATATGCCCCATTTTAACAGCAGCACCTGTCTGAGGCACCTGGTGCTCCCCACACTCATTCCAGCATCTCGCTGACGCTTGGGCCAAGTGACAGCATGGGGAAGATATGTGCCGGTTTCACAACTGTTCAACCTCTCTGACAGGAGAGCCGTAGCAGCAAACCTCGAAATGGAGAACCCCATTGCTGGCAGGAGCATGTTCTTTCCCGGAGGTCCTCTTTTCTCATCACTGTCTTATAATTTCTCTGAATTTTTAGGATAGTCTGAAAAGATTATTTTAGCCTGTCAGAGTCTTACTTCTAAAGAAATCTGGTACAAAGTGAACCTTTAGCCTTGAGCAGAGATGACCACGAGTGGAACGTGCTTCGAGTCTTCAGAATCCCCAAAGGCACAGGCCAAGTCAAGCCGTCCAACTTCAGAATCCCCAGTGAATCCCTAGAGGACACACTGCAGCTCCAGGGGCAGTGCACTTGAGACTGAGACCAGGGGGCACTTCCTTACACAGTGGGGAGCTTGTTCCACAATCCCACATCCCAGTGTTGTGGAGGTGCGAGAAGCGATGGGCCTGCTTGGCTCAGTTAGTTACTAGCAACCCAAACAAGCCCAAATGCTGGAATCTGTTCTTCTTTTTTTCTAGGTATCACACCAAGCAGCAGCAGCAGAACCCGAACTCCAGCCTCCATTGGTGCAACGCCAGCTAATATTAACATAGCAGGCAAGTCATCCTGGGGAAGAAGTAAATGCTTTTTTTTCATGAAAGGGTTCTGGTCGCTAAGGCACTCGGTGTTACTGAAGTGCGCACCGATGTGATAACCCGTCCGTTCTCGTTTTGGCCCTTCAAAATGATGAGCCTTATGGAAAACGGTCCTTCTTGTTCTAGTTTTAGTTTTATACTCCAGTAATGTCCTTGAGGTTTGTGCAAAAAGCGTGTCGCTGGAAAGGTTCTGGGCCTGAAAGAGGCGCTTCGTCCTGGAGTGTGACTCTCCGAGCTTCCCTCTCTCCAGACCTGACCCGCGCCGTCAGCGCTCTGCCCCAGAACATGACGTCCCAGATGTTCAGCGCCATCGCCGCGGTCACGGGGCAGAACCAGAACCCCAACGCCACGCCGGCGCAGTGGGCGTCCAGCCAGTACGGCTACAGCGGGGGCAGCAGCGGGGGGGGCGGCGGCAGCAGCGCCTACCACGTGAGTCTCCGCCCGCGCGCCTGGGGGGCACTTCCTGTCACCTGAGCGGAGGATTGGCAGCTCTGGGCTGCTCCCTTCCTGCCGCCTGGTTCCTTGTGCAAGCTCTGAGGTTCGCCAGACAGGGCAGGACTGGCGCCATCGCCGTCGCCCCAGAAACAGGAATGGCACTTCCTTGTGTCGGCTTCCGCGTGGGTGTCCTGTAAATAGGGGCTCCTCAACCCTGACCTTCACACATCTCTCGATTTGTAGCCGTTTTGATTTGTAGTTCAATTGAGTGCGATGTGCAGTCTGCACTGTTTCGATTTGTAGTTCCTCTGTTCTGTAATTCAGCTGAAATATATAGCGATTTAAGGAGTCGAATGCATAAGTGTGCTGCAGTGTCACGGGTTGGGAGAACTCCAGGTGGAGTAGTACTGCTCTGTTGTGGGTTTTACACTTCTGAAAGAAGTGCTTTGTTGAGCCTGGGGTAGTCCTGTTGCCCCTGTCTCAGTCTGGCCCCTTTTTCTCCCAGGTGTTCGCCACCCCGGCCCAGCAGCCCATTGCCACTCCCCTGATGACCCCCAGCTACTCCTACACGACCCCCAGCCAGCAGGCCATGACCACGCCCCAGTACCCCAGCAGCGCCACGCCCCAGTCCTCCCATGGGCATGCCTCGTCGTCCTCCTCCACCACCTCCTCCTCCCGGCACCGGCAGCAGCCCAAGTAAGTAGAGATGGAGCCCCACTCCTCGGGGGCGCTCTGCCTTTAGGGCATTTCGTTTCTCGAAGGGTATCGGCTGACCGTTGGCTCCTAGGCCAAGCACAGGCGCCCAAATGTCTGATCCTGCAGCTCCTCTCATACCGAGCTTCTATGTAAAAGTCTAAATGATGGGCTGTGCTAAACAGCTTTTTCTTAACATTTTAGTTCGCCTCGTACATGGCCTCCCAGTTCACTATTGGTCTCACTGATGACATACAGGCCCCAGCAATTAATAGAATTAACAAAAGCCTCAGTATTAATACAGTGAAGCACTGCTCAGCTGATAAGATCTCTTGGATGTTAATTTTAAGATCTTAACATCAAGGTACAGATGTTCAAGAATTCATAAAATTCTTGCAGGATAAGGTCAAATACTAATTCCTACATCGATTAAAGTAGATTTCTGGATCTTGGACGCCTGTTCTATTAGGACTTGGCGATTAGGTCACTGGAAATGTAAGTTTTGCGGACCCAGAATTTAACATTTAGTCTTCCACACTCCAGTCTTTTACTTTTAACGAATGTAGGAATTTGTGGGAGCGCGTCTTTGTTGAGTGCGATGTGAAGACTGACCGCTGTCCGGACACTGCTGTCCCCACAGGACCAGCAGCCACACGGCCGTGGACTGGGGCAAGATGGCGGAGCAGTGGCTGCAGGAGAAGGAGGCGGAGAGGCGGAAACAGAAGACGAGGGTGACCCCCAGACCCTCGCCCAGCCCCATGATCGAGAGCACGCCCATGTCCATCGCCGGGGACGCCACGCCCCTGCTGGACGAGATGGACCGATAGGCCGGTGCGGTCTGAGGCCTCCCAGCCCTTCCTCTCCCTGGGCTCCGTCTCCCGGTTTTCATTCTCCGATTGGGAGTGCAGCCCAGCAACTCCTTGGTTTTATGATGAGTCTGGAAATAGTTGACTGAGGGTGAGACTCTTGCAGAAATTGCCAGCCGACAGACCTGAAGGAAATGGACCTGCTAAAGATGTTTGACTGGCAATTTGGGCCCTGACTTCTGAGGGGAGCCTTTCCTTTTTTTTTTATTAGCGGGGAAACACGGCCAATTTGAGCAGCCCGGAGACTTACAGCAAGCTTTACAGTGCTGCAGCTCGAGTACACCTTCAGCTTAGTCCGCTGTCAGCCTGGGCTCATGGGAATCGTACCGGAAAGCAATGCAAACACCCCACACGCTTTTCCCAAAAGCAGCCCTCTCTGCCGTCTGTATGCATGCCTCAAAACGAATAAAGTGTTTTCCCGTTTGACCTAAGTCTTTGCTCTGACAACCAACGGCCGTGAATTGGCTTTAAATCGCTCTCCGCTACTTGCGATGTAAGCGTCCCCCCTTCCGTCAGTTATGCTGCTCTTTCCACTCTGGACTTCAGCTTTAGAGATCAGTCACTACTTTGAGCTTTTAATTTATGGACATCACTGCTCCCTGGGGCCCGGCTCAGGTGGGCTCTGCCCCTGTCATGTCACCACAGTTCACAGGGAGAGCAGTGCAGAGAGCCAGAAAGGAAGAAAAGTAAGGATTAACTTTGTTGCATTTTTTTTAGTGCCCGTTTGTATTTTTAATGTGTTATTCCAGCTTATTAATTTTATTAAAATTGCTCCCGTCACTGAGCTGAGACTAATACGTTTGTATAAAAACAAATTATAACTGCAGATCCTTTATATCAAAGTGACATGGCACTGGTTGACCTCTTTGTTCAGCTGATCACACTGCAGCCCATTGGGGGAATGAACATTCACTAGCATTTCTCCTCTCGGGGAGTTTTTCTGTAGAGATCGGAAACCGTTAATTTATATTTCTGTTAGCCGATTGATAGAAGGTCTCGGCGGACTGCAATCGCGTGGCTATCATGGAAATTGTGAAATGAGATCAGTCACAAATGTAATAACCTTTCAAATAAATTGGAGCACTTGGTGAAAGTTTGACTTCAGTCATTGGATTTTTAATCCGGAGTTCGTCTGCTTCTTACTAAGAGGCCCGGAAATTGGCTCCGCAAGCAGGCGGCTCACCTGGTTCAGAAGGAAGAGGTCCAGGTAGTGAAGGTGACCAGAGTTGGGGCCCTGTTGTGAAGCAGTTTTTAGGAGGAGTCCCGCAGGACAGATTGGGGTCAATTTTGTTCATGTATTTTAACTGAGTTTTCCTGGACAAACCAAGATCCACTGATAATTGCTTTCAGAGCCTCACCCCCTTACCCAGTGAGAGCCTGGTGTAGGTTCTACAGCTATAAAAGATGACTGTGAGCCAAACAAAGGTGCCTGCAGTGTTTCAGGATGCAGGAGTGGCTGCCTCCACATATCACTTACCTTGAGTAGTAGGAAATCAAGGCAGTAATGTAGTTGAAAATGCCCTTTTCAAGAAATGGTCATTTTCCCCTGTGCAATCACATTGGCGGGGAATAGTTTTGCTAGAAGCAACCTCTTGATGTGCTCAGGCTTCCTGTTCTGCACTGGCAGAAAGCAGTTCCTGTCCCGTTCGTAACCGATGATGTACAAGAACAATCTTCTCCCTCTCCTTTTTCTTTTTTGAACCCGGCAGTTGGAAAGACTGCAGTCGGTCGGTTTTTCTAATGCAGCACCGCTCGGCTCCTGCCTGTTGACTTTCTCGGCCGTGGCGTGTATTGTGGGTAAAGGCTGTTGTAGATTTATTTGACTCGCATCAAAATGTTTATTTCTGAGTGTTTTGCAGTTATTGTGTGCATATATACAACTTTGTTCCTGATGTTGTACGAGATGGTCATGAAATACCACAACATATTTTGCTTTGATAAGTGAACTTATTTTCTCTGTGACTTAAGTAGATCCCTGCTTATGAGAAAACGCACGGGTTCAATTTTTAATTATTCCTTAAATGTTTTTTTTATGATGCATCAAGCCACTGGAGGGCCCAGTGATTTGTACTTATCACTTCACTATAACTCCCAGGAAGTCGGTAATATCTTTACTGTACAGCAAGCTGATCCTTGCATGTGTGCCACCTGTCGGAGATCTTGTTCCTGTCGGGCAGCATTTCTGAGTTTTGTTTTCCTCTGTAAAAATGGGTAAAGAAAGTACTGTCTAGTCTCCAGACTCTCATTTTGAGCCTCTGCCTGCGTGTTTCTCCTGTGTGACACTGCATGTTGCACTTCAGTAAGTACTTGGCACTGGGGTCCAAACACTTATTTGGGGTCCCCCCCCCCTTTCCGTTAGAATCAATACTTGCTTGTAGCATTTGTACGTGATGCCCCCAGTTATCCCACAGTTCAGATCATTCTAGTATTTCCTTGAAATACTAGTGTCACCTCTTTAATTTCTTGACGCTTTCATCACCAAATGCAGTACCCTGACTGCAGAAACCTGTTTCCACCCACTTCCCTGGTGTATGACCGTCTGCAGTTCCTGCCGTTTCCGAGAGCAAAACAAAACCATGTGCTCAAATGTCTCGTGGTATACCACACCTTTTTGGGGAGTCCTGAACTCGGGGGGGGTCTTCTCAAGATCCCCCAGATGCTGGCTTCTCCTCACAAGCACAGGCACCCCGATGTCATAACCGGCAAGTGGTCAGTGACTGATCTTCCAGAAGATTCTGGTCCGGAAGTTGGGACAAATCTCATGTGTGATGGGAGAAATTAGTGGCGCCCCAATGGACACCTTCACAAGCAGGCCTGTACTCTGAGTGAGGGGCACCAATCCCATTGCCCTAGGGTTCACCGTTATAGCGCTTTCTCGTTTATCCATAGTGAGCTATGTATCCTGCCAATTTTTTTGGAGAAACATTTCCTCCTGTAATCTGGGTGCAAGAATTCTTATCAACAAGTAAGCATGTCTGCACTAAAGATATGCCTTTACTGATGTAATTAAATGTTTAGGCTAATAACAGCATTTTTCAGGAAATGGCACTGAATAAAGCTGATAAAGTTTGATTTAATTCTGTCCTGTAAAGCAGTACATGGTGTTTTGTAGAGATACAACTGTTTCTTTGCTTTGAAAGCTTGTATGTTCTGTTTGCACCTCGGCTGTTCTAAATGGCTTCTCGTTGTTTCTGTCCCTGGGAACTGACCTATGACATCAAAGTGTATTGTGACCCAGTTCTTGTGACAGACAGCTGCTTCATTCAGTCGTATTGACTGCAGTTCAAACTGCTTTTGTGACATGCTTACTGAGTTACTTTCATTGGGCGAGTCAGCAGTGACTCTGCAAAACCTGCTAGCCCAGATGGAAAACATCCGATAATACAATTCTACTTTACATAGAGAATATATAAAATGTCTATATTTAACTTACTGAACATGACAAAATGTAATTTCATTACAGGTTCTGAACCTCTTCCATCACTACAATCTGTGTAGTTTTTTTCAGCCCGGTATTAACCTTTTTAAATTATGCTTTAAGAAAACACCTCTGAAGATCATTTCATTCCTTTATTTGATCAACTGGAGAATAATATACATTAGAAATGAGCAGAAGCCATTTGGCTAAATTAAGCAGTGTAGACAAAAGGTCTTTTTTTCTCCCCGATAACAGCCTGCAGGTTCATCAGACAGCCCGACTGTCACTGGATCGATGTGAGTGCAGTGCCTTGGTTAAGGGCACAACTGCACTGCCCACTCAGCGTTAAACGCCCGATCCTCTAGTCCAGAGCCCTGAACACTGCTGCCTGTTTATAATGTGAATTCTGACAAGACAAACATTGAAGTATTGCAGTTAAACAGTAAATGTGGCCTAAGGTAGCCAGCATGACCCCTTCGTAGAAGCTACATATGATGCTCTAATAACAATTGTTCTTTCCAAAATACAGCAGATATCAGGGACGTTAATATCCATAATACAGAACATTTTCCACAGCAGAAGTCCTTGCTTGTGCCATGTTGTATGCATACAGCCGTGTACCTGTTTTATCTGCTTGAGAAGTGGTTATAAACGATTATGCGTGTTGAAGGTGGTTATGGAAGGCAACCTTCAAATTGGCATCGCCAATCCAACTTTGACAAAAACGTGAGGGTCAGGTGATTTGGGCTCAGGAGCGTTATTCTATTGCTGTGCCAGAAGTATCTGCACGCAGCTAACATGGAGAGAGATGTGCTCAATACTGAGGGGGATTATGCCTTTTGAAGAATTCATCCCTCTTGCTCCCTGAGAAGTGCAGCCTTATACAGAGTCAAAGTCTCTTAACACAGCATGGAGAACAGAATTACCCTAGCTAATGATGGAGTGCATGGTCTTCCTGTGCAACATTGATTGTAATTGGCAGTTAACTGGTTGTCATTGGGTGAAGTAGCTGCAAGGCAACTAATTTCCTCTTGTGATTGAATAAACCTTGATTTGATTGATTGCACCATTCCACCCTCTCACCAGGCTTCCTCCTGATGTAGTAACAGCGGGGGAAGATCGATCAACAGCGCAGCCAAAATGAGTTTTTTTAGATTGATTCTCGCACTTTTGTCCATACACAATGGCGACACCATCGTGGGGGGGGGGAAAACATTCATTTACATTGGAATACTGGTGTTAAAACTTTTCATTCCCTGTTGTAGATGGTCTGCTCTTCCTCAACCTCATATAACTTTGCGATGTGCTTCCTTGGCCACAGTCTACCCAGCAGTCACCTGAATGCACAGCCTTGTCACGACCCGAACAGGCAGCCAGCAAGCAAGCAGTCAGTCATCACCTCCAGGGGTGGGGAGTCATATTCTATAGCAGTCACGCCACGTGCACATACAGCAGTGTTATCACAGCATAGCTACCTCTAATAAGAACGAGACCCGCAGAGCATGCATGCTTACATTGTGCAGCAGCAGTTAGCGGGCTCAGCCGGCCCCCCTTGTCTGGATCCGGCGGCAGGGGGAGGTAACTCCAGAGCTTGATTGTTGATCACCTCCACCATGCTGAATGTAACAAGCCCCTCATCTCTCGCTCTCTCTGGGTGTTGATCGGGCGCCAACGGAACAGGTCCTGTGGGGATGGAGAACTAGAATGGCCTGCCCCTGCTCTGGAAGAGACTGGGGTAAAGCACTACACTAGGATGTGTGTGCCTTCGTGGGGTTAGTGCTGTTCCTGGGCGTCTTTCTCCTCTTCTTCCCTCTGCTTTCCTTGGACCTGGGCCTCTTGCTCTTCGGCGGTCTGGGCGTGGACTCGCCAGGAGGGGCCGGAGGGAGCCCACCGTTGCTCTGCTGCGCCCCCCGGGGTACGGGCTCCCCGGCGGCCATTTCGACGGCGCGCGGTGGCGGTGGCGGTGGCGTTCTCGTGCCGGCGGGGGTCGCTCCGAGCGGCTCGTCCTGCATGACGTCGTTGAAGGGGTCGTCCCTGCCGCCCGCGTCCAGGAAACCGTCCCGTGGGGCGGCGAACCTGCCCTTGTGGTCGTAGCGGCCGGAGTCCTCCAGGAAATCGCTCTTGGCGAGACTCCCGTCGGCCGGGCTGACGCTGCGTGGGATGGACCCCACCCCCTCCAGTTTGGAAACGTCGGTGATTCCTTGCCGTCTCCTCTTGCCCTTGCCCTTGCCCTTCTTCTTCTTTTTGTTCTTGTTCTTCTTGTTCTTCTTCCTGCTGGTCTTCTTGTTCTTCTTCTGCTCGGCGCCCTGCTCCCTCTCCTCCTTGGCGCTCTCGGCCACGGTGGACTGCGAGGTGGAAACGGTGGCCAGCACCTTGATGAAGTCCTCCGCGGCGGTGACCATGTGGCCGAGCGCCGGCGGGGCCTGCGTTGCCGTGGCTGGAGCCCTGGCCCCCTCTTCCTCCTCGTCCTTCCTCGCCGGCGGAGCGATGGTGAGCTCGTCGATGACCTCTATTCCGCCGAAGTCGTAAGTGACGGATTCCTGGGCCACCGCGATGGGGACCTTCTCATATCTCTGACACCTGGGGGGGGAGAGACATTCATTTTATTTTAACAAACTATCCCAAATAGCACCGTACATTTGGAATAGAAACAGCATCATCTGAAAGGCAGCTGAAAGTGTAGGCCTTCAGGGGAGCCCAAGTCTAGTCTTCAAGGGCAGCTGTGTCTCTGATCTTTGCCAGCAGCCATATCACTCTGCAACTC